AGGCGGGATCGGGAAAGGTCTTCGAGTCGGGATTCGAACTCAGGACGCCCGTAGCGCAACAGTGCTTTATGTCGGCACATTGCCAACGAGGCTCTCAGCGCTGACCAGAATTCTTAATTTGTATTTCACAATTCTACATTTTTTCTCAGAATTCCAGATTAACATCCAGGTTAGCAAATTCTGCCAAATACCTAAAAAGATACCTAAAATGAAAGTCTAAATTGTGGAAAAAAAAGAATTGTAAGATAAAAAGTTACAATTATTATTATTAATTAAAATATATTTTTTAAATTCTGTTGCAGAAATAAGCTTCCATATAAAACTGGCAAAAACATCATTATCAACCAATAAATAATTAAATCAATAATTTCATCAATCTCACCCACAGATGAACTACCTACTGAAGAACCTCTTGAGGAAGAGAAGATCTTCAGCAGACTACCAACGACACCACATAAAGAAATAACCTTTACGACCATGCCCCTCACTTCCACTCCTGACAATATAATGGACACTGAATCCTTCACCAGCCGTCTTCCATCCACACGCTCACCCAACATGTCAACCTCCCACCCATTGGGCTCCAGTGCTGTTGTAGGAAACATCACAAACTCCATCCACTCCACCACCTCCATACCCTTTAACACCACCACAATGCACCTAAACACCATAACCAGCTCACCGATGGATAATACAAGTATTTCTGCAACACCCAACAGCACCACCAATGCAGAAACCAATGGGACAACCACAGAAGTCCCTAGTGGGACCACTACAGCAGCACCCATTGGTACCATCCCTACAGCTTCCAATGGCACCACCACCACTGACACCATCACTTCAGTCCCAAATAGCACCACCACCACCACAGCCCCCGATAACACCACCACTGCAGTCCCCCAAAGCACATTTACCTCCATCCACAGCACTGTTGGGAAACCGACAATCAGCTCCACCAAGTTTACAACAGCACAGCCCTCAAGGACCACAACCATGAACCATTCACCTACTACAAAGGTCACTGTTTTGGTGCCTGGATGGGCGATTGCCCTCTTAGCGCTGGCGGCTGCCAGCCTCTTCCTCCTCATCATCCTCATCATTCTGGTGAGTGATCGAGGGTTTAGGATCAATGTAATATAAGCCTTTGGTTTTATAGAAGAACATGATAGCAACTTTAAAATAGGGTATTTGTGATATGTTTGAAATGTGTCACATTTGATTGTTTCATTTGAATAAATAATAAAATTGACCAACTTCTGTACTACTATCCCTAAGTATAGAGGCAGCACATTGGCACAGTTTTGGTATCAGATTATATGCAATTTAACCTTTGATAGGCTATATATACAGTAGCCCAGTAGTGCACAACACAACGAAATCTCCACAACACAACAGAAACAAGCCACAACACAACAAAATTTGCACAACGCAAAGGAAACAAGCTGCAACACACGAAATTATCACATCAAAACGGAAACAAGCCGCAACACAACGAAATTAGCACAACACAATGGAAA